TTGTTGTGAAAAAAATGGACAAACACTTTCACTCACTCCCCTAATGATCTTGTTGTTGATGGACTTTGTGACACACACAATGATAGATGAATCACACACACACACACTTGAGATAAAATAACCAAGCACAAAGTGACACAAGCATTTATAGAGGTTCAGCAAATGCCTACATCCTCTTGGTGATCCCCTTGAGAAATTCATTACAACTTTGGTTTTACACAGAAAAACCCCCTTAGAACTCTATTCTCTCCCCAAGCTCTCTTTTCTCTCACACCCCTTGCTCAACACTTTGATGCACTTGTGAACACTCTCACAACCCTTGGTGTTTCCCTCCTTTGTGTCTAGACTCTCAAGACCCCAACTCAGCTCTAAACTTGAACTGATTGCTCTCTCTCACGTTCTCCCTTGGTGAGTTAACCTCCTTTGAACACAATAGCACCCAGCTACTTGACCACCTTGAGATTAACCACACCTAACTTCAACTTGCTTTCTCATCTTATAATGTCTTTGCTTTATCTCCATTACCTACACAAACCAATGGACAAGAGATAAGGTATCAGCTTGTCCTCCACGTTCCTTCCTTTAGTCACCCACTTAGACTAGAGGTTAGAACAAGTAGGTAATATAATCCCACTTCAGCCACCTTCCACAAAACCAGAAAATGGAGAATGGAGAATGGATTCCCCAAAGCAAGACAACCAATTGGCAATGAGTGCTCTCCCAACTATCCAGCAGGTAGTCCACCATCTTGCAACTCAGAAGTGACCCATTAAGCCTCTGAAATCTTGTGGAAAGCGATAGCCACGGAAAAAGTAGTTGAAAACACGTAAGAAAACATCAGCACAGCACTGAAGCGACCGGTCGCGGATACCTTGCGACCGATCGCGGATACGTTTTTGATACGGTGCGACCGGTCGCGGATACCTGTGACCGGTCGCTTTCTGCGAATTCTTCAGACTTCAAATCTGCTTCTAAACGACCGGTCGCCCAAACCTTGCGACCGGTCGCTCACTCCTTCGCTTGCATACTAAATGTGAGCCAATTTTACAACAATCTCCACCTTGGCGAATCATTTAATCACCCCATGGACCATTGTTGACCTCTAGAACATCTTCAACCTCTTAGAAATCGTTCTAGTAATTTCCAAGAACTCCACCATGGCAATACACCTCTTGCCTCAATGCACCTTTGGTGGAAGGTGCTCTACCCAAGCCTAAACTTGAGTAACTTGGACCTCTTGTGCAGAGAAGAGTTCCCCCTTGCCAAATTCGTTGCTCCTTGCTTTCTTGGAACCTTGAATCTTGGACTTCCCTTGATATGCAAACCACATACCAAACCTTTGTTCACTAAATCCCCTCTTAGCACTTCTTGCTCTTGGATTTAAGAACACATTTCTTTTCATCAATGCACTTCTCCAACTTTCCCGCTTCATGCTCCCTATAGCACTCCGAAACGTGGCTGGAACTTCTTGGTCCATCCATCCAAAACCTAGGGAAGGTTTGATGGATTCCTTAGGCCCGGACCTTGCACTTGATGATGGCTCCAACTCAAGTAGAACCCCTTTGTGAGTTTGCTGTTGTTGCCCTCCTTCTTCAACCCTTGTGTCAAGCTCCACCTCAAATGGAGTCCCTTCCATGACCACCTTGGCAAGAAGCTTCTCTTCAACAACATCCTCCCCATCATTCCTAGATTCCTCTACAGCCCATGGTCCTTCAGCGGTTGCTCCACCACCTCGCAGTCCCGTTGTCACTCGTTCAAAGACTGGCATTTTTAAGCCCAATCCTAAATACCATGCCAACTTTACTACTCGGTATCCTGTTCCTCATGATTTGCCTGCCTTAGTGGACATGAATGTTGAACCTACTTGCTACACACAAACATCTTGCTCTCCCAAATGGAGACAGGCCATGCTCGACGAATATAATGCACTTATTCAATAGAATACCTGGTCTTTGGTCCCTCCCCATAATTCCATCAATACGGTTGGTTGCAAATGGGTCTTCAAAATTAAGCGGTGATCTGATGGCACCATTGAACGGTACAAGGCACGTCTCGTTGCCAAAGGGTTCCATCAACAGTCTGGCGTTGACTATTTTGATACTTTCAGCTTTGTCATCAAGCCTGCAAAGATCCGCACCATTCTCTGTCTGGCTGTTTCTTTTCGATGGTCCATTTGTCAGCTCGATGTCAAAAATGCATTCTTGCATGGTTCTCTCTCTAAAGAAGTTTACATGTGACAACCCCCGGGATTTGTTGATCCTAATCGTCCTCACCATGTGTGCAAACTTCATAAGGCCATCTACGGTCTCAAGTAGGCTCCACGGGCATGGTTTCAACGTTTTAGTTCTTGTACGGTTTGGTTTCTGTCAAAGTCGGGTTGACAACTCCATGTTTGTTTATCCGGATAATTCTCGTGTTTTGATTTTATTATTGTATGTGGATGATATTATTCTTACCTATAGTGATCCTTCTCATATTCACACCTTTATTCGCACACTGGGAGCAGAATTTGACATCAAAGATTTGGGGCGTTTGCATTATTTTCTTGGCGTGGAGGTTACTTATCACACGGATTCTCTTCATCTTACTCAGAACAAATATACAGTTGATTTCCTCAAACGCATCAATCTCTTGGATTGTAAACCTGTTTCCACACCAATGGCTTCGAAAGGTACACTTTCTCGTACTGATGGTACAAAACTTGCCGATCCTACTCTTTATCGACACATTGTTGGTGCCCTCCAATACCTTACCATGACCCGTCGCGATATCTCATTTGTGGTTCAACATGTCGCTCAGTTTATGGGATCTCTCGGTGATGTTCATTTTGAATATGTTAAGTGCATATTACGTTATCTCAAAGGCACTCTTGGTTTTGGTCTTCCTATTCATCGGTCTCCTGATTGTTCCTTCTTAATTGCCTATTCCAATGCTGATTGAGCAGGATGTCCTGATACACGACGGTCCACATCCGGCTACTGCATATTTTTGGGACCTAATCGCATCTCTTGGAGTGCCAAGAAACAACCAATAGATTCTCATTCTAGTGCAGAAGCCGAATATCGAGCCCTTGCCTATGCCTGCGCTGACACTATATGGATTCAAAATCTTTGAACTGAACTTCGTTGTCCGCTCACTCATCCCTTGTTACTCAACTGTGGCAACTTGTCCACCACATACTTAGCTGCTAATCCCGTGTTTCATGCTTGCACAAAACATACTGGGATTGATTATCATTTTGTCCATGAACGAGTTGCTTCTAGTAGTCACAAGGTTCAATTTATTCCATCCACGTTTCAGCTTGCCGAGGTTTTCACCAAAGGATTATCAGTTGACCGGTTTTCACGTCTTATTTCCAAACTTGTCACCTCTCCGGAGTCAAGTTTGCGGGGGAATGTTTGGGGGTTACGGGAGTTATCATAGTTAAGGGTTTTCAACGACAATACATTAGTGTTTTAGCTGTTATATTGTTATTAGCCTTTATTAGTATATAATGGGTTTTCCGTTTCATTGTAACCACTAGGAAGATATCTTATAGTTTGTGTATAAATATAGATTGTAATATCTCAAATTTTCTTATTAAATATACAGTTTCTATAGTTACAAAGGGCAATAATAATGTGGAGAGTTCTTTATTCATTTATGTTTTTTTTTTTTTGGATATACGGTACTACCTTCTATGTGTACTTAAATGACTACTATGCTCATGTACCTTTGAATGTGAAAAACTTTTATGTCATTTCTATTGGTTTAGGTATTGTTTCCCAAAATTACAATATGTTTATTTATTGTTTGTAAGAAAACTTCTTCATGTGACAAAATTTTTAAAAAAACAAAACAAAAAATGTGAAGTATGCAGATTTTAGCAATGAAATGCATTAGTCGCCAGAGCCTATAGGCGATGAACAAATAGTTTTGGTTGCCTAATCCCTTTTAAGTATGCGCCAACATTTGGTGTTTTAGAGGGAACCCGACCAACTAAATTATGTTAGGCGACGAAAATATTTGGTTGCTTAAAGGTTTTGGCGACAAACTTCAATTTTGTCGCCTAGAACTTTTAGCCACATTTTTTTAATTTTGTAATTTTTTTTTTCTTCTGTAGGATTTGATTTGAATTCACTAAAAGTTCAGTGGGCAATGGCTCCTTGTCTAATGGTTCGTTTGAATTGTGCAAATAATAATATTGCTTTCACCATTGATACTAAAGGCCCGAAACGATTTCAAACTAATGAAAACTCTTCAAGACTATGGCATATAAAAGACTAGGCCTTGTACTTATAGAAAATAATGCAGTAACTCGGGTATAATTCAGGGATTATTTCAACAATTAAGCGTTGAATTTAAGTGATCAAATATTTTTACTTGACAAGGAAAAACTTTTGTGATTGCCTTCTTTGACATATGTGCAGAATAAGAATAAGCATAAGTGAGAAGACATTGAGTAACCTTTGCGGCCAAAAAGAGAGAAAGGACATCGAAAAACATGTCTTATCGTCCTATGTTGCTAATTTTTTTTGCCCCTATTAGTCAATTGAGCACATTTAATTAATTAATTTTGTTGGATATATAATGTTAAGGACCAAAACGTTACGAGAAATCTAAGGACATTTAAAGCCCAATATAATATATAATAGTTGCCATGCTAATCCAAATTGTATTTAGGGAATTAATTCATCAAATAAATATAGAAATAGTGTAGTCATGCCAAACAAATAATTCATTTTCCTTTGCTAAACCACTCAACAAGCTTAAGTGGACCCAAGCCACACATATGTCTGGGGCTTGTGAGCTGGTTGTGGTATGGATAGTTACAAGTGTCCATAAGGCTCATTGAAGGATCAAACAGTGGAAGTTTTGGGGCTGCTTGGGAGTACCAAAACTCATGCCCACTTTCCTAAGCCTAATTACACGGGTAAGCAAAGAGAGAACTCCCAGCCTCTTCCTCCAGCATTAAACCACAACTACCCATTACTGTTCATTAATGTGCACACAATCATCATTGTACGCTCACGTACCCAGGGACGGATCCACAGAGGAGCAAGGGTGGTCAATTGACCCCTGTAACTCCGGAATCCGCCACTAGAGGAAGAAAAATTGACCCCTGCAATGGCTGGATGGCTGGGCAATTCATGCCCGCCATCTGTTCGAGGAAATGCCTCAAAGGGTTGCCGCAACTTCAACTTCAGCGCAGCAAGCCGCATTGCAGCGCTTCCTTTTTTTTGTCTTTTGATTCATGGAGAAACGACACCGTTTCATTTAAGTTTTTTTTGTTTTTTAACATATTAAAATAAACAGGGGCAACAGCAAGCAATGGAGCTGCTACCCGATAAACCCCACAATCCCCAATACATTGGACATTTCAAACGCAATGCGCTATTATGTTTTCAATTTGTTTTTCTCTTCTTTTTTTTTTTTCTCTTTCCCAATCTTTCTTTTTCTCTTCTTTTTCATTTCAGTTTTTTCTTTTTGTATATATTTTTGTCTTTGTTCCTTTTGCTCTTTACTTTGTGTTTACTTTTTATTTTACATTTTTTTCCTTTTCATTTATTTTTCTTTAATTTTAGCTCATTCTATTTTATAATTTGTTTTTGTCTTGCTTTTAAAAAATTTCAATATTAGAAACATAAATAAGGTTCAATACATCGATATAGTTTGTAACCAAGATAAATTACATTGTTGACTGTCCTGCAATGTTTATAATATTTCTTAGTAGGTTGATAGGTTTAAAGTTTGTTACTTTAGGAGTTGAATCTTTGTGTATTTTAATATAAGGTTTTTGTTTTTGTGGATTGGTTAATATAGTTAATAAAAATATGGTGGATTGATTTAATATGTGTTTTGTAATGTTGTTTTCTCAATGAATTATATATAAATGATGATTTCTTGTTTTATTTTTATGGGATGAATATTGATGTTTTTCTTGATTAGTTTGTTGAGGTTTTTTTTTCTTTTCCCAAGGAGGTTTAAGTTTGGTTAGTTACTGTTAGTTTGAATAAATTAAGGGTTTTCTAATATAAAAAAATTTATGGGTCTATTTTGTATAGAAATTTTTTAACCTTTTAGATGTTGACCCCTGGAAGGAAAATTCATGGATCCGTCCCTGCACGTACCCATTATTATTCATTACTGTACACACAATCAATTACAGTACACTCACGGAGAAACCAACTGTTGTGCACTATACACTCACGGATGCACAAACAAAGCCAAGGCTTTGCATATAAATAGACCCTTCACCCATTTGTAAGGCACCTAGAAGAAGCAGAGAATGGCAGAGGAGGCAAGCTTATCCTCCACCTGCTGTAAAGACACAAAACCCAAGCCTTAACCCCTCCATCATGCTCCTCTTCTTGTAGAACAACACTCCAAGCTCTGAACATCACTCAGAAAATCATCCCAAACCATCCCAAGACTAAAAACATCACCTGCATCTCACCTTCAGCAGCCTGTTCTAATTGAAGCTGCAGAAGCACTCTCTCTTGCTAAACTTATATGGAGACTTAGCTCTCACACCATGAGCCTCTCAAGCCAAGCTTCATATCAATTCATTGAAACAAGCTCTCAAGCCAAGCTTGTACATAGCTGCTCTTCACCATAGACCACCTCCAGCATCTTCTCCAACACTATTCCACTACATGCAGCACATATTCAACTTCAGGAAAAGCACTTCCAACACAGCAAAATCAAGCAAAATCATTCTAGTACCCGTTGTATATCAAAATCTGCAATGAGACATTGAAGATAACCAAATTACTCCCTAAGGCTTAAACTCTTTCGGAGTGCTTTGGGGCCTCGGGCTGCAAACTCAGATGGGTTAAAAGAAAGCTCAGTCCACCTCACAATAGTCTAATAAGCCCATTGCAGCTCTCAACAAAAAAAAGACCCTAACAAATTTAACTACTTATTGTTTTTAGTAATATGTACAAATAAATAGTTTTCTATTAATGTTATCGGTATCAATCGAGGATCAACTTTTTGCGGAGAAGATACTGGACACATATGATTGCTTGCAAATGAAGGAAGTTGAGGTTCCACCCCAAAACCAATTGGAAATGGAGGGAGTAGCCCAACTCCTTGTAAACTCACGCTAACTCACGCTCAGAGCTTCAAAATTACATATACCTTTACAAAATATGGTTGTTTCGAATTACATATAGAACTAGCTAGTACAAAATTAATACAATAAAATTAAAAGATGTGGAGGAGAAAAAAAAAATAACAGGGTTGAGGAATTATATAATATGAATAGAGATTAATGAGAAGAGAAATCCAAAAATAAAAAATAAAAAAAATTACATCTCCATGGATGGATGGGTTATTATTTGTCAAGATGCATGTGTGTGAGTGGGCGTACGTGTAGGGTAACTCTTGAAATGAATTAATATCCAGATTGAGTCGTCAACAAACTCTTGAAATTAATATCCAATGAAGTTTTCGTCATGGCAAGCGTTGAAACCGCAACTGGCATGAACAATCGCATGGTAGTAGAAAAAGTAAAGGTTGGTTTTGTGGGTGGTAGTAGAAAAAGTAGAAAAAATTATATTAATAATTTAATATGTTTTCATCAGGTACGTTCATTCATCCCTGGCATACTGTTGTGGGTGGTTCCGTTTGGAAGAAACGGTGGTAGGACTGTGATGTCACAACCTCCTCCACTCTCTCAAGTCCAAAGCCGATTTGGTACTTGGACGAGTATGTGTCCAGTTTCAAGGTGAACCCTGGTTACTGCAATGCCCACTCAAGTCACAGTGGCTTAGTTAGGGCTAAATTTCTTGGCACTCAAGTTATACATAATTCATATGATATGTCAGATTCCAAGCCTAAAGAGATTTATCGTAAGCAAATTGTGGCATGGCTAATGGGACTTACCCTGTGCCCATGGTGTGGAAAACTTGTACCATAAGATATTACGATTTTAATATGAATCTCTAGCCATTGCC